CAATCAGGCTCTTTGGGAACAGCAAAACCATTAAGCCAATATATTCATCATCATTGCTTGTTTGGGAGAGGTTTGCAGAAAAAAAACACTCCTGCTGGGTTTAGAGATTGTCCCAGGCTTTCCGGGCAAGGGTGCCTTTATGACATCTGTTTATTATGCTTTATTAAAAGGTGCGTCGGGACAGAAAATGAGCAATCCAGAGGGCAACAAGGAATGCACAGTTACACAATAACACGAGAATCTGCCTTTATGGAGTTGGACCCTGGGCCAGTACTGCCAGCAATGACTGGCAGCAACAGCTCTCCAGGATTGCAGGAAGATTTTTTTTTTTTAGCCTATCATGACCCAAAGAAAGCACTTGGGATTGAACCGGAGACTTTTTGCTCAAGAATTTAGGAGGATGCCCTTATATCGAGTCGTTCATTGTGGAGTCTCCTTCTTTGGAGGACTTTAAACAGAGGCTGGATGGCCATCTGTCGGGGGTGCTTTCATTGAGAGTTCCTGCATGGCAGTTTGGGGTTGGACTGGATGGCCCCTTGGGGTCTCTTCCAATTGTATGATTCTATGATCCATGAAACCCAGTATTGCCAGCTCTAACTGGGAGGCTATGGCACCTCAGGGTTTCAGACTGGCATTAAATGGACACTTACCCAATAGTGCCAAAGATCACTCCGTGGCCAGCTCTGGTCCATGGCAAGAGGTTATAAATGGATGATAAAAAGACCAGAGTCCATCATAACTGGCAAACAGAATCGAGATATATAACATAGAGGAAATGTCCCGAACAGTCCTTCCTCTAGCATAATATACAACCTCAATCACAACCTCCAATCCATCTTGTGGCAATTTCCAGTTCATTTATCCTCTCATTCCTCCACAGTTTGATCAGAAAGTATTCCCATGCACTTTTTGTATGGAGGCCTGAAAAATCGGACTAGAAAGGACATGGGGCAGAAACAGCAACTGTTTTAAGCTGCGACCATTTCTATTCTTTTTAAAGATCCTAAATGGAATTGCTTGAGATGAAATATAAGTTGGAATAACACTTGCATAAGATAGAGTCAGTGGTTAAAAATCAGAGGGAGAAGATGGAAACAGACTGTGGGATTTCATGATATGTGTCCCAGCCCTCAGGAGTGCAGAAAAGTCCAGAGTTTGAATCATTTTTTTTAATGCATGAAATCCAGAGATAGGAAAGTGTTTTTTACTAACTTTCTTATCTCTGGATTCCATGCATTAAAAAGTGGTTCAAAGTCTGGTGGTCATCGCTAGGGTTTTGGTTGCTATAAATGGGAAAAGCAAAGCAACCTCTACTCTGAAAGAACGGCTGTGTCAAGTTTGGAAAATGGCCAAGACAACTCATTTGTTATTGCTATTTGCCATCAAGTTGATTTTGATTTAGGGGGATCCTATGAAAGAGAGACCCCCTGGATCCCTTGCCATCAAATCCTCAGTTCATGTCTTGCAAAGTCAGGGCTGTGGTTTCCTTGATGGAATCAATCCGCTTGTAGCACAGCCTCCCTCTTTGCTAACAAAACACGGTTGGCCCTCCATATCCCCTGGTTTTTTAATCCATGGATTCAATCACCCACGGCTTAAAAATATTCAGAAATAATATAAATTCCAAAATCAACGTTTCTTTTTGCCCTTTTATATAAGGGACACCATTTCACTATGCTATTGTACTTAATGGGAGTTGAGCATCCACAGATTTTGGTATCCTTGGGGACTGTTTTCCCAATGATCTTGGTTTTATTGGTTTTACGAGGACCAGATGTAATTTGGATATTAATGGATATAAGACTTTTTCCCATGGACTTTTTCCCCCCTTTTCCATTGCTTACTTCAGGAGTGGAAACCAAGCAACCTTCCAGATGTTGTTGTATTACCACTCCTAGCATTCTTCATCGTGGACCATGCTGGCTCAACATCTGGATGGTCAGGTCTTGCAAATTCAGGGCCATGACTTTCTTGATGGACTCAATCCACCGGTAGTGCATTCTCCCTCTTTTCTTACAGAATATGTTCATTTAACAGAGGACAGGCAAAACAGATCAAGCCAAATCTCCACTTTGTGTGAGACCTACACATAATTAACTTTACTTCCCTCTCTTTACCTTCAAAACCAATCGAGAAAACCTTTTTTATTATTTTAATTCAAGTTGTTTTGAAAGGGATCCAACACTGATTCCCTCTTTTATGCCCTCATTCCCCTGATGTCTCTTTTCTCCCATTAAAAACCCACCAAGTGTGCTTTAGGGCAAGTTTTTAATATGATTTTATTGTACTATATAAAGAGCCCTGAGTGCAAATAGGCTGAGATGGCAGGAGGTCTTTGTTAGAAAAATCATACTAACAGCAAATATTCACTATTATTTCCCTGAGAAATTTGGAGCAGTGCTTGGACAGGCAAAATCCAGGTGTCCTCTTTTCACAATCGTCTCTCACAAGAGAGGAATTTCTAAATTTTGTGGGTCCCCCTAGATAATAATAAGGCAAGCCCTCCACCTGTGCTAATTTTATTTTATTTTATTTTATTCGTATTAAAGTGAATTTGGAGGCCTCCCTGTTGTAAAACTCATCTCTGAGAAAGAGAACAAGGCTAAAAGAATGACCTATCCACACACAAAAATAATCCGACAATGGCAATAGGGTTTTGCTAGTAACTTAACAGCCTCGACTTTTCTGTGCGGTAAATATTGGGTCCGCACATTAATTAAAGGTACCTAACCTTTAATTCAGACTCGGAAGAAAATGAGTAAGCGGCACCGGAGGCCGAGGAACAAGAAAACCGTGGATATATTTGGTGCCGATCGATGAAAAGATGAGAACTTCTGGTTGTTGACTGGGTTGAGTCTTTTTCGACCCTGTAGAGCGAGCCTTATAGTAATGGTCTGGAGTGTCTAAATGGAACGGTGTGTCACCGTTAGGCTTCGGGTAGAAATAGGTCACTGGGCAAAGATGTGAAATAATGGCGACGCACCATTTCCAGGCAAGAGGGAAATAAAAGATTTGGCCTTAATTGGAGAGTGCTTCGGAAAGCAAATGTAGGGCACTGGGCAGGTGAGGATCTGCATCAAACACCTTCAGGATCAAGATGGGACAGTTTAACCAACAGGGCAATATAACCATTCAGTTTAACCTTTCATTCTTCCAAAGGGGCAATTGAAGCATCCAATATTGTTTTTTGTGGGTTTTTCAGGCTATGACTTCTCTGAAGATGGCAGCCACAGATGATGGCGAAACGTCAGGAATGAACTCTTCAAGAACACAGCCACTTAGCCCGAAAAACCCACAAAAAACTATGGCTGTGGTTTGAGCGTTGAACGATGACTCTGGAGGTCAGGGTTGGAATGGAAACCCACTGGCAAGTCACACTCTCTCAGACTCAGGGGAAGGCAATGACAAAGACAAACCCCTTTCTGAACAAACCTGACCAAGAAAACCCCCTGGTAGGTTTGCCTTAAGGCCAGCATAAGTTGGAAAAGACTCGAAGGCACACGACGACAAAATGCATCCTATGGCATACCCTCTCAATGTCCTGATTTGGCAGAGACAGTCCTGGTTATTCCTTTGTAATTCCACTTTTCAAGCTGCTTTTAAAATGTCCCGGTTTCTTCCTCCTCCTTCCAACGTTCCCTCTTTGGGTGAATCTACACTGTACAAATATTGCAATTTGACACTGCTTCTACTTCCATGGCTCTATCTGACAAAATCCTGGGAATTGCAGTTTATGGTGGCACCAGAGCTCTCTGGCACAGAAGGCTAAATGTCTCCCAAAACTACCATTCCTAGAATTCCCTAGCATCAAGCCAGGGCAGTTAAAGACTGGATTATTTCTACAGTGTGTTTTGGACCCTTGACCACATTCTCGTGTTGTCTAGCCCTATGTACATCCTGTGAAATGTTGGAGGATTTGCAATGGAATCGGGATCAGTAGTTTTGGGAGGCACTAGAGCTTTCTTCTTGACAGCTCTACGCATCCTTCCCTTCACTTCTGGCCCCAGGAGTCCATAGGATGGAGCCAATGAAGTCAACAGTGGGATCATAGAGCTCCAAATGCGTAGTGCGACAGGGCCACAGATTTAAGAAAATACAATGGTGACAATGCTGAATGATAAAAATCAGGAGTCTGCACTCGTTTCTTGGCATGTTCCAGCCTCTTCCTTGCAAAATGTCAACAGCGTCATGCCAGCCAAATGGTGCCAGCCAAGACGAGAATTTTCCAGCTCTGTACTCGGTCTGCAGGGCTTTTCCATACAAGCTGCTTTAATCCTGATTTGTCTTTTACTCTCCTCTATAAACCCAAAAATATTGAAAACACCCATGGAAAAAACAACAGAAAGATTCCCCCGGGGGTGAAGATTTTGTGTTAATGAACAAGGTGATGATTGCTTTGTAGCTATAGCCTGAAGGGAGGATTGGAGGAAAGCTTTTAATAAAATCTGGGTAAAACCAGGGAGAGTTAGATTTAGTGTTCCTACCAATTAGATCAGTATTCGCTGTCCTTCCCGGACTGAAAGGATCACGGTTACGCAATGGTTGCTAGGTGGGCTTTGTGGTCAAATCGTCAGCTTAAGTCAGCCCAAGATGACTATCATTCTTCAGAAAAATTATATATATATTGTGTGTGTGTCTCAGTGTTCAATCTGGGACCGATAAAAGATCACAAGATCATTGCATAAGATGCTCTTGCCTTAGCAGTAACTCTTTCAGCAAAGCATCCATGGGAGGATTTCTTGGTCCACTGGGATGCTTCTTCAATTTTTTTTACCGTTTATGGGAATGACAATCCACTGAGGAACTAAGCTAACTCTTGAATGTGATTCTGGCCCTTCAGTAAGGTCACTTTTGGAGTAAAGTGAGTCCAAACGTAGCAGCTCTACCAGATCTTGGAACAGTTAGTTTTTCAGGCTATAACTCCAAGAACTTCCCAGCTCTTGGAAAAGTTAGTTTCTCAATCTACAACTCAGAGATCCCCCAGTCATCATGGGGATTTAGGCAGTTGTGCGTAGTGGTTTGGGTGTTGGACTGACTCTGGAGACCAGGGTTCAAATCCCTGCATGGCCATGTAAAACCACTGGGTGACCTTGGGCAAGTCACACTCTCTCAGCCTCAGGGGAAGGCAATGGCAAACCTCCTCTGAACAATCTTGCCATGATAGTTTCACCTTAGGGTTCATCTTAGAGTAAATGAATACAATAGGAAGGCTAGAGTTTTTATGGTGTGTGGTCACTTCAGGCAATGATCCCTATGATGAAAATAGAGGCATGGTGTAGAGGTTTGAGCAATGGATTAGGATTCTGGAGACCAGGGTTTGAATCTTGGCTCAGTTGTGTAAACCCACTGGGCGACCTTGGGCAAGTCACACTTTCTCAGCCTGAGAGGAAGGCAAATGGCAAACCCCTGCAGAAGAAACTTTCCAAGAAAAGCTCATGACAGGTTCGCTTTAGGTTCGCCTTAAGTTGGAAATGACTTGAAGGCAACAGCAAAATAGAAAGCTGTCCCTTTTTTTCCTCTGTAAAAATTAGAGGGCATGTGTTCATCATAATAAATACTATAGACTCAGTGGCATAACATATTGATGACACAATCTTATTATATGCAGTTGGCATTTCCCAAAAGAAACCAGAGAGATTTCAGCACAGAGCAACTCAGAGTCAGTCTGAACCGGATCCATCATCCCTCAGGTGTGAAGTTTTCCCTCCTGTTCTGGAAATAGTTTGTTTTGTGACTTGCCAGAAAGTACAGGGCCGCAGGCTAGGATCAAGCTATTCATAAAAGAAAGCAGAGCAACAAAACCTTCTCCTATACTCCCCCCTCCACGCAATGTACAGAACACAGAGGCAGTCTGCACCAAAAGTTATAGTTAAACAATGCCAGTAACAAAGCTTGAAATGTTAAGCAAATTTGCACACTGCAGTTTATCTGGCCAATGTTTTACTCTCCCATTCCCAAAACCTGCCTCCCGGGGGGCTAACTTCACGTCCTGTACTTTCTCTTCCGCTGCAGGTCTTACAATCTTTGCAAGGCTGGGTCATTGGCAATCAATGTTTGGTCTCTTTTCAGGGTTGCCAAATGCCGCATTGATAAAGAAGAGGTCAGAGGAAAAGCAGATTGCCCCTCCGCAGCGTGACTAGCAGGTGGCAGAGGAAATTTGTTGTTGCTGTTGTTGCATGCCTCCAAGCCAGTTGTGACTTATGGTGACATTAAGGCAAACCGATCACAGGGTTTTCTCGGAAAGCTTCTTCAGAGGGATTTTGCAATTGCCATCCTCTGAGGCTGAGAGCATGTGACTTGCCTAGTGGGTTTTTATGCCCAAATGGGGAAGTGAACCCTGATCTCCAGAGTCGTAATCCAGCACTCAAACCACTACTCCATGCTGATTCTCTTAAATAGCCCTACACGACTCAGGTCCATGTTATCCGAAGGGCCATATTGTCCCATGTGAACATGCCAGAAGTTCTGAGATCTTCTGGGGAAGCCATCTTCTCTGTACCACCAAATTGGATGGAAACAAGGGAGAGGGTCTTCTTGGTGGCTGCTCACTGACTCTGAAACTGGAAGAACCAACTGTATCACTTCTTGAAGTTGTAGTTTCTCCTTCAGTTTCCCCTCTTCAAAGTCACCAAGGAGTTTATCGCATTCCCTTTTTTGGGCTGGGGACGCACGTGAACGAGGGGAAATGGGTTTTTATCACACTCAAAACAGTCAGTAAGCCGTCGCCATGCCATCTCCCAACCACCACCTATCCCCAAGCTGCACTGAGCCGGAAAACTTCCGTCTTTGAAAAATTGGCCGGGAAAATTGGGGACGGTGGTGGTCAGGTGATGGCATGGCGACAGTTTGCTGAATGTTTTGAGTGTGATAAAATCTGTTTGCCCTCATTCACACGCGTCCCCAGCCTATGCCCAGATTGGGCAAAAAAGGGAATGAGATAAACTCCCAATAGATAGATTGAAAACCTCCTTGGGTTGAAAGAGCCACCGTATATGGTTGGGATTGGAGAGGGTGGCATGCTGCCCATTAGGGCCATCACTAGGGGGGTGCAGGGGGTTCAGACCACACCAGGTGATGCCCTAAGCGGGATGGCACCATTGCTCCCCAAACATCTGCCTTTTGGCAAAAATGGGCTGTGGCATTCACCTGCATCCCTTTAAAATGCTGGAGATGGTGTGAATGGGATGAGGCTCAGTGGGAGGGGAAAAGAGAGGCTTTAGCTTTAGAATTTAAAAAAATTAAATTATTTTAAATTTCTGAATTTTCACTCTAACCACATGAAACAATGGAGGCGACCCTATCATATGGTCTCCCTGGCAAGTTTCTTCAGAGGGGGTTTGCCATTGCAAATCCTCTGAGGCTGTGAGAGTGGGACTTACCCAAGGCCACCCATTGGTTTTTCATGGCTTAGCTGGGATTTAAAGCCTGGTCTCTAAGAGTCCAGTGCTCAAACCACTACACTATGCTGTCCCTCATACCAATTTCTGTACCTGTAGACTAAGCCCAAATCCTTTCCTCTAGTCAGTTCTGTCCACTCCATTCCCATTTTCCATGTCTGCACTTTCTGTGCGTTACAAAACCACGTCTGACCGACCCTGGATGGATTTTGCAACCAGCCTTAATCTCCACAAAGAATATTTCTCCACCACCGTATCAGCTTCTGAGGTGAAAGTAGCAGAACATTGAGTCCGTCAAAACAGACAGATAAGCCCCGACCAAACAATCCCTTGCTGGACCACAAAACCCTGCCACCCCCGGGCCTTCCCCATAAAGCTAAATCCCCCGACAAACCCCAGCTTTTGCAAGAGCGAAGGCACAACAAAGCCCTTTCCCAAGTTGGCCTTCAAGACTCACATAGGTCCACATGATAAACAGAAGATTATTGTGTCCTAGAAATATGGTCGGAGACGATACTGTGCTGGCGTCCTTTGAGAGTCAGTATTCAAGGAAAAAAGACTATAAAGTCAGGGGTGGAAATAGCTCTGTTTGAGGTCCAGTTGTTGTATAACAAAATAGCTGTCAGAACTGTTGCATGGCAGTACTTTCAGGTCTCAGATTTGGATAATGAGAGCGGAAGAATTGATACCTGAATGCTCTGCAAGATAAAAGTAATCATCACCATCATTATATGCTCAGAAAACTAGTTTAGTATAGTATATATTTATTTGCAGTCATAGCCCAATAGAAGGAGATACCACTTACAAAATTTAAGAATCACATTAGATGAAAACAGTATAGAGTCACATAAATTTAATTTAAAACATAACTAGTATGACAGGGGTCTGGAGTGTAGGGTTGTCCCAATTTTTTAAGGACAGTCCCTTGTTCAGATAGGTTCAGATAGGTTCTGATAGGTTATTTTTAAGCTGAGTTGAACCACTAATAATAATAATAATGATGATGATGATGATGATGATGATGATGTTATTACTTCCATCTTTCTATTTATGGTTATGCAACATTTCCTCTCCCTCTCAGCCTTTCAGTTACCCAAATATTTGTGAATCATTATCAGCTGGTATATGATGCAATTCCTTAGTCACATAATTAATGCTTAACTTACGTTTCACACTTGCAAACCCGTTAATAAAATTTTCTGGTCTAGTTTTATCACTTGCTACCAGAAGTCCCTGAAGAAACAAAGAAGATGTGTGAAGCCTCTGGCAAATTTCCGGTACTCCTCTCTAAAACCATATTGAAAAGAATCCATGGTTATTCAGATGGGGTTACTTACAATAGCAAAAAAAAAACCCCATTGTCCTTATGTTGTATACATCTGAAGGCCAAATTTGAAATGAAATGGAAGAGCCTTGATTGGATTCTTCCGTAATAATCCCCTCTATTGTCTATGTGAGGGCTGCCATGTTTGTTGTTATTATTATTAATTGCCATCACGTTGACTTTGACTTATGTTGGTCCTATGAATGAGAGACCTCCAAGTCACCCGGTCATCCATAGGTCTTGCAAACTCAGGTCCTTATCTTTTGATGGACCTTATCTTTTCCTGCCATCCATCTTACCAAGCATCGCTGTCTTTTCTAATGAGCCATGTCTTCTCATGATATGGCCAAAATAGGACAGTCTTGGCTTAGTCATCTAAAACTTCTTTTGCACAGTTTAAGTTTCAAAGGTGCTAGAAGACCCTTTGCCTATTGAATTGTTCATAGCTGTGTGGGTTTTCTGGGTTTTCAGGGGAGGCTGCTTACAAGGTGGATTTTTTTTTTTTTTTTGAGGGGGAGGTTGGGTCTTTGTGTGGTCAGAACCAAATTTCAACCTCTACAATAGCCAAAAAAGTGAGCTGCATTGGCATCAGTCTGACTTTGTTGTTGTTGGGTGCCTTCAGGTCTTATGGTGACCCTAAGGCGAACCCATCATGGGGTTTTCTTGGCCAGATTTGTACAGAGGAAGTTTGCCATTGCCTTCCATTGAGGCTGAGAAAGTGTGACTTGCCCAAGATCACCCAGTGGATTTCATGGCCAAGCTGAGAATCAAATCCTGGTCTCGAGAGTTGTAGTCCAACACTCAAACCACCATGCCACACTGGATGCTATTGTAATTCATCAACAAGACACTAGTTATTGTTTGGATATTTTAGGGGGCAATAACCCCTGAAAACAAGAGCACAATCTCCTAATCTGGAGATGCTCATTGTTGCCCTCTCGGCCCATCATTCGGTTGGTTGTGTGTGCCAAGCCTACACATGGGTGAGCCGTACACGTGTAAGCACCCTCCACGCGAGTCGGTGGTGCAAAATTAATTGCTCTCTATGGCACCAAAGTAGTTTGAAGTAGCTTTAATCCCCCAGACTTCTGACCCGGAGCAGGAGAGCTAGGGAGTCCTTCGACACAATGCGTCTACATTTCTATGATTTTAACACTCCTCAGCAGGGGTCTAATTTTCTTTTTCCTCCCTATCCATCTCATGCGAACAAGCCTTGAGTAGATTTTCCCAAGGCCTTGAATAACTAGAGATAGTCACAGCAAGGGACCCGCACACCGGTTTCTATTTAAAAAAACATAAATTAAATCAATACAATTTCTCGTGCCTTTTGAAAAACGCTCTTCCGTGAA